TCAGAAATTTCCAAGACTAAGTGAGGCAAAGCTTAAAGAAGGTATTTTGTTTGGCCCACAGATTCGAAATATTTTGAAAGATACACAGTTTGAAAACACTTTAACAGGTATTGAAAAAACTGCTTGGAATGATTTCCGTCTGGTGGTCACTAATTTCTTGGGAAATAGAAAAGCTGACAACTATAAAACCCTTGTCAAAAATATGCTGTCATCGTATCAAAAGATGGGCTGTAATATGTCTCTTAAGGTACATTTCCTACACTCACACCTGGACTTTTTTCCTGACAATTGCGGAGCCGTAAGTGATGAGCACGTCGAACGTTTTCATCAGGATATTTCAACAATGGAAAAAGGTACCAGGGAAAGTGGAATCCTTCCATGCTTGCAGACTACTGTTGGACTCTTGGCAGAGATGCTCCAGAAACTATCCATAAAAGAACAGCAAAAAGACAGCGCATATAGTGATTCTTATAAGTATATGAATCTTGTTACTTTTTTTAATATATCCTTAAAAATAAAAAGTTTTTTTTCTAAACCGCAAATAATTTTTTTATGTCATTGTCATTTTTGGATTCAACGCCCCAAACTTAACAAAGAGGTGCACTTTTCCCACAAGATACAATTAAAAAACTAAAATTTGTTGTCCAGTGATTGCTCAATAAACTAGTAGTGGTGACAGAAGATAAGTGTTTTGGGACAAACAATTAGAAATTCTCAATAAACTATCTGACTAATATAATCCAATTTTATTGTTGCTATTTACAAGTATGAATTCTACGGACTTGAAAAATGTCAAGAAGTTGCGTGAAATTATCGTTGCATTACCAACAAGTTCCAAAACCTGCATTTTGTCTCATTTTTTGGACATAACATTTTTGGTATTAGTCGGATCTTTTTACCTGTGGTTCCATTTTGTAGGTCTCATAAATACCCAAAAATCTTATATGAATATTTTTTTCGTTCCTGTCAACACTTTCCATTGAATCCCAAAAACACGTTTTCTCATTCTTGTCAAATAAAAAGTTTTCCCACAAAAATTGGTATACGCATTGTACACGTCCATATTTTAAATACCCACTTGAACAACTTGCACCAGAAAAACCAGACTTTACAATTTATCAATATGATCAGGAGAAATGTTGTTAAAGTTTTTCCCTATTCTTCTTTTTGTCACCACATTGTAGAATTGAGACGAAAGGGCGACATGAAACCTAACAGATAATTCACCGTTGCTCCAGAGAAAATGCCGAGCAGCTGAAAAAATCACAATGGAAAATTTTTACGACGCGCGCGTTTCGAAGCTCTGTCCTAATTATTTCCATGAGAAACATTCCAGCTTCACTGCCTAGCTGAATTCCTTGCACGTCTTGCAGTCGAAATTCTGCCATCGTCAGGTATGCAGGATCTTTGCTGAAACACTTCAGAGTTTTGAAACAAGGCAGGAATTTGAGTAAAGTGCGATCCAGCAACCTCTTAGCTCTCGGGTTTATACAAGAGATGTATTTTGAGTTTCGATTCAATAGAACAGAAGGAAATGCAAAAAAGCTGACAAAGACATAGTATTTAACTTTTGTTAACCTTTCAACTAACCATAGTCGCCGATGCATTGTTGTTTCAACAATACTGTAGATTTATGGAATACAGACGAAAATTAATGTTAATACTAGGACTTCTTACTTCCTAAACCTACTGGACTAGGAAGTATTGTAATTGCGAAAAATTCGAAAATGAGATATTGTCTTTGTTTGTTTTTGTCTGAGGGTCTAATTCTTGGTCTGTCTATTGGTTAGGATGTTGATGAAATTTTCACCAGAGTTACTACAAGGCCAAGGAAGAAAAAGCTTCCAGGTTTTCGGAAATCCGCCCAGTGACAGCGGAGAAGAAGGCAGAAACATAAAAATCGCTACAAACTTCGTTTTTTGATATCTCTGAGGATCTCGGTCATTCTTATAAAAAAATGCAGTTATTGAAAATTTCATGTTGGGGGTTATCAGGTGGAGTTAATGTCAATTTTTTGGCGTTAACAATTTCTATTTTTCCAACCCAGGTAATCCTACGCACGTATTCCATGCATTATAGAATTCCGCATATGGATATTTCTCAACAATTTAGAAAATTTATTTTGCATTGCTTAAAACAAAAAAAATGAAAATGTATCATTTTTTTGTAAAAATATAAAGTTTTAGTTTAGTGACGATCATTGAAAATGAAGGTTATCCATATTTTTCTGTATAACATGTGGAAAAATTACTTTTAAAAAACTACGAAACGAGGGAATGACCGATAGGTTGGCGAATGATTTTTACAACAATTTGATGCTGAATTTCGATAAGAAACATAAGTTAATTTATGAATATTGTATTGAGATTTGTTTTATACTTCAGAGAGCTTAGATAGTCCTTCTTCCCTGGGCACATCCTCGCATTTTCATCCTTCTCTAAGAAATAAACATCACCCAGCATTTTGGAGCTAACTTAACGAGTACAGTTCTTTTTGTACGTATCGTTGTTAAAAAGATTTCGATCTGTATAGCAATTTTTGAATCGTTTGTACTAATTGCAGCTAAACATTTATAATATTTCTTCTTTTCTCCATGTTTACTTCAAAGATCTTCATAGATATTCTTGAGGTCCGTTGACAGGCTTCTCCGAAAATGAGTGTTTTCCTTACAGGAAATATACACGGTGGCTCATCGAAAACGAAACAGACGCATTTACTGGCAGCTCAGTTTTTTTTTTGGAAAAACGCTCAGGCCCGTCGATTTTGTTTTCGAGGGAGACACAAGTTTGGCAAAAAATCACGGTAACACGTGCAGCCCCCTGGGCGGGGGTGACACCAACCCTAAAATCTTAAATGGAGGGTCGAGTGATACCTTATTTTAAAGGTCTTTCAATTTCCTTGGTAGAAGAGGTGCCATTGAATGGCCCCCAAGATCGCCAGATTTATCACCTTTGGATTTCTTTATGTGGGTCATTTAAAAAGCAAAATCTATGCTACTCAGCCCACATCATTGGAAGGCCTGCGACAAAGAATTGTGAATGAGTGCCTTCAAATTACTCCTCAAATATTGCAAAATGCGCGGCAACGTTTTGAGCAAAATCTTTATTATTGCATGGAGAGTCATGGTGGCCATTTTCAACATTTACTTGCCTAACGGGTCAGTTCATTCTTCATTTTTAAATTACTTTGCTGCCAAATGTATTGATCTCCACTAATGATGATGTATTACTTTTATTTAAGCTTTAAATCAATAAATCTTCATAACTTCTGAACTGAAGTACATTAACTTTATATCATTATAAAGGGAATTGAAAGACCTTTAAAATAAGGTATCACTTTCCATTTAAGATTTTGGGGGTGTTGTCACCCCCGCTCAGGGGGCTGCACGTGCTAACGTGATTTTTTGCCAATCTTGTGTCCCCTTGAAAACAAATCGACGGGTCTGAGCGTTTTTCCAAAATAAAACTCAGCTCCCAGTAAATGCGTCTGTTTCGTTTCGATGCGCCACCCTGTATATTCTTTAAAAGCGAAGTCAGCTTAGTTGCTGGAGAGTTTGGGTCAGTATTTTTAGTTGTCAATCTCAAACACCTCTTCTTATATGTTTCGATAAGCTTGACTGCGTTTTTTATTTTCCAATCTTTTAATCTTCGCGTACAGAATAGTTCGCCGCTTGCGCATTCTACGTCTATTGAGAGCAGACGAATTCTGTGCTATTTGCTGTAGAGATGGTGTAGGACTTGGTTGGGGTGTTTTTTCAACTATTCTCTGTAAATTTGTTTGTAATGTAACTCGCTTTGTCCTATAAACTTTACTATTCTTTTTACATTGTTTTCGCTTTTGGCTAGTTTCTCTTGTACTCTTCTTCTTTAAATACTTTAATCTTTCATTTTCAGATGAACTCACACTGCAATCAGTAAAACTATTTATTATAATACTCTTATTTATCGACCTTGTTTTCTACGAACTATAGAGTATTTCTCTTCGAGCGATTAAGTAGTTGATAGCCCTTGAGGGACCGCCTCTGCAATGAAGAAACGATTGATAAAAACGGCGTAAGTGGAAGGGAGTCCGGTCCTCTCAAGATCGCTCGAACATCTATGACGGACAGAATCATCGAGGTTTTGTGTGAGAAACAGCAGTTCACGAGTTACTGCCCTAGTTTTTCCCTCTTTGCTAACGGTCTCGTATGGATGGATTCCGATTTTTGTTTCCGGGTTGTTTGTTTTTATTTCGTTTGCTCGACATAAAATACAGGATGCACTTTGGATGGCTTGCGCAACATAGGACACATGCGATATTTTTGTGTTTGTCCTTTCAAGCAGTTTCGTGTACCGAAAATAAAATAAGCATTTACTCAGCACCTGTTTTTTTGATGAAGTGGTTCTTCTACTGGTATTCTTTGTCCTAACTAACTCATCAAGGATGAAAAATGGCGCGCCACTGAAAGCGACACGCGGAACTACAGCACCCTATGAAAGACAAAGATAATGACGAGAAAAAGTCGCAGTGTTTTAATTAACTCTGAATAATTAATTACCCTAAGACGCTGTTGTGACACGGAGCAAGCTGAAGAGCTTGACGTTTACATAGCAAGATGTATGAATTTGAAAGCAGATGAGATGACTTCGAGAATGTATTCTGCTGTATCTGGTCCCGTTTATCATAGTCTACTTATATTAGACATAAATACCCTTGGTTTGCGAAATATGCTTTTCAGTCTATAATTGGAACTTACACGATAGTCTAATCATTTTAGAAAATTCTCCCGAAATACTTGTAAAGTCTTGTTTTATCGCTGCAGGTTATTCAAGGGGGTATTCAAAATGTGGACGCATAAAATGGGTACCTCAATTTTCGTGGGAAAACTTTTGACTCGACAACAAAGATTGACAAACCGTGTATTTTGGGATTCAATCGAAAGTATTGGCAGGAATGAAAATACTCTTCGTACGAGGGATGTATTTTAAGTTTTGCATATGGAAATAAAACAACACGGTAGGTAGTTTTAAACGTCTTTATTGTCTTTCGAAGTAATCTCCACGAAGATTAATACGCATCTGCATGCGCTAGAACCAATTTTCGAAGCACTTATCCCACTCGTTTGCTGGCAGATCCAAAACGGCATTTTTGAAGGCGTCAACTGCTTCTTCTGGTGACTGGAACCTTTGACCACGCAGTCCGTTTTTTATTTTCGGGAAAGTAAAGAAATCGTTAGGACTATATGGAAGATGGTCCAATAATTCCACGTTTTCTTCCGTTAAATACTGCCTTGTTTTTTGGGCTGTGTGCGAGCTTGCATTGTCTTGGTGGAGGATGATTCTTCTTTCGGGGTTGATTTTTCGAAGTTCGGTGACTTTTGGAAAACAAATGGTGGTATACCAATCCACAGTAACAGTTCTTAAGGGGAATTGTTGCAATATGACCTGCTTTTGACACAAATGTCGCGACCATCTTTTTCGAAACACTTCAAGAATGGACGACTTTTGTTGGCTTTTCTTCACCTAGGAACACCCAAACCACCGACTGTCGTTTATTTTCTGGTTCATAACAGTAAATCCACGATTCATCACCACTAACAATGCTGTACACATTTTTTGAGTTTCCGGAATTGAAATGGTCAAGCGTTTTTTGACACCAATTAACTCTGGCTGCTTTGTGCTCTTCAGTGAACAGGTGGGGTATCCAACGAGTAACTAATTTTCTTACTCCTCATTCTTCATGTAAAATTTTTTGAATTGAGGTCTTTGAGATCTTCAAGGACGCCTCAGTTTTTGGTGCACGTCGCTAAGACTCACCCGTCCATGTTTGAATTCTCCATACCAACGAGAAATTGTCGACTGATGTGGCGCTTCGTTGCCGAAAGCAGACAGTAACTCAGCAAGGCATTCTTGTTGCGATAACTGTCTCTGAAAGTTGTAATAAATTATGGCGTGAAAATGTTCTCGGTTGAGTTCCATTTTTCTAATTACTTGGTGACACTTAAAAATTCACTGTAGTGAGAACACCGCACGTACGCTTGAATTTAAGTTTACTAAAGAGTGAGGTTAAGATTCACTACTGACGTTCGATCCGCGCGGCCTACTATATTTCTATATGCAAAACTTAAAATACGAGTGATATAAGATTTTTATTGATTCATGAGACCAACAAAATGAGACAACACGCAAAAAGATCCGACTAAGCGCGTCCTGATTGGTCGTGTAGTTCATATTTTCGGCTTCGGCTTAATATTATTGTATGTAGATCCTACTGAATTTGAATCAGGTAATAAATGATGATCTTTCTGTGGTGCAAGGGAATCGTGCCTATTGTGTCTAGAAGTCTATTTGCCACTTTCGAGAGATTATGAATTTCCAATCTCTAATGACAATATCACTAGGGCTAATACATAATCGTGTTTCATTGAACATAAGTTAGTGGCTCTGAGAAGAACCGTTTTTTTCAAGAGATTATGAATTTCCAAATTTCTTATGAAATTACCACTAGGGCTAACAGATAATCTTTTTTCATTGAACGTAAATTAGTGGCTCTGAGAAGAACCGTTTTTTTCAAGAGATTATGAATTTCCAAATTTCTTATGAAATTACCACTGGGGCTAACAGATGATCTTTTTTCCTTGAACATAAGTTAGTGGTTCTGAAAATAACCATTTTTTTCAAGAGATTATGAATCTACAAATCTCATATGAAATTACCACTAGGGATAACAGACTAGCAACAAAATTATGGCTGGAAACCGAGACAAACTGCAGGTTTTGGCACCTGTTGGTAAAGCGACGATGGTTTTTTGCAGATAAAATTCTTCAAATTAGTAGGATTCGTACTTCTAAATAACCACAACAAAATTGGAGTAGGTTGGTCAAGTAGTCTTTGAGAATTTCTAATTGTTCATCCCAAACCACCTGTTTACCGGCCATCACTACGAGTGTATTGCGGAATATACAGGGTTAGTTCAAAGGGCGTTTTATAGCAAAATACACTAGTTTATCTTGCCGCTATGAATCGCAAACCATTCAGGAAGACAAATGTTATTTTTATGCAGAAATGGATGGGTTACGTTTTTTCTTCTAAACAAATTCAAACATTTCGTATTTGTGAGTAATTCGCAACTAAAGATGATAGACACATCCGCTTTGTTTTGAAATGTTTATAGTAACGCATGTTTTTCAAATATCGTAGCGCATTTGTTCAACTACTCACAAATACGAAGTGTTTGAATTTGTTTAGAAGAAAAAAACGTAACCTTTGTTTTTCGCATAAAAACAAAATTTATCTCTGGGAATGATTTCTGATTCATATCGGCAAGGTAAACATATTATTTTGCTATTAAATGCTCGTTGAACGAACCCCGTATATTGCTCAATAAACTAGTAGTGATGACCGGAAGACATGTGTTTTGGGATAAACAACTAGAAATTCTCCATAAACTCCAATTTTGTTCTTGCTATTTAGAAGTATGAATCCTACGGATTTGAAGAATTTCAAGTAGTTGCGTGAAATTATCGCCGCATTATCAAGTGCCAAAATGTGCATTGTGCCTCGTTTTTCGGCCATAACGTTTTTGCTATTAGTCGCATCATTTACATGTGGTCTCATTTTGTAGGTCTTGTAAATACCTAAAAATGTTATATGAAACGTTTTTTCCGTTCCTTTCAACACTTTCGATTGACTCCCAAAAAACCCGTTTTCTCATTCTCGAATCCAACGTCCACGATCGTTTTCTTCAATAAACGATAACCTTCTACGTGGATTACTATACTCTGGGCGCTGAAGAAAGACATTAAACGTAAACAGTGATCAGCACGTGAACAGATCCCTCGAAAGCATCCACGGATATACTCCAGTCACTTTAGGTCTAAACATCCTCGGCAGTGTATTTCTAGTGAATCCACAGACCCTTTTTCGTGTCATCTTGAGACTAGAAAAAGGATGACTGTTAAAATAAGTTACCTTGATCTTTCATGAGCTCCCAGTACAAAACATCATCGATATATTTTTGATGTAGGAACAACAAATTGGTTTAGAAAACATCCACTTTGAACCTAAATTGACTGGAGTAACATCGATCTACAGACAAATTCAAGGTCACTAGCAGTCGTCGGCGCTCTACGAATCTGCACAGGTTTGGACTTGTAAATGTGATTGTAGATGACACGACAGGCATCTAACAGTTAATTCACGCACAGGATTGCATTGCATACGCATTACGCATTCAGTAGCGTATACTCGTTTTTCGCGAGTGGAACGTTTTGTTTATATATTGCCTAAGATACAATGTCTGACACAGATACAGCCGACGAAGTGGTTGACATCAGCGCAACCCCACCCAAAAAAGGGCTAAGAAGCTACATTTAAGTGCAAATGAAAAACAAATAATATTAAATATATACAAAAACCAAATTCAAGAAAAACCCGATTTGGTCGTGGACGAAGTTATATGTAAGGTAGCACATATTTCTGGAGTATGTCGGTCCAGTGTTTATAGGATCATTAAGGAATATAGGAGCACTCACTCACTTTCTGAGCCAAAACCGTATCCTGCAAGAAAAAGGATAACGGACGGAGTAGATGACTTTGACAGAACTGCCATCAGGAGGAAAGTGCATAATTTTTTCTTCCGAAATGAGATACCTACAACAGATAAGATATTAAGATTAGTTAATGCTGATGAGGATCTTCCATCATTTAAAAGAACCACATTCCGAAAACTTTTGAAGGAACTTAATTTTCGATTCTTGAAACGGGGAAGAAACAGTACGTTAATAGAGAAAGAAGAAATTGTTGTGTGGAGAAGGGAATACCTTAGGAAGATTCGGAAGTTTCGCGATGAAAAAGAAAAATTTACTATTTGGACGAAACGTGGGTGAATGCTGGACATACTCAAGCGAAAGTTTGGGTCGACAAATCAGTAACATCATCAAGGCAGGCTTTTCTAGACGGTCTTTCGGCTGGATTGAAAAATCCTGCAGGTAAGCTCCTTCATCTATCCGGCAATTTAATTTTGATAAATTCGGGCAAATAATATGCTGTGATAGCAGATAATGTGTGATATTCTCCAAAAATGGTGCATTCGCAGTGTAGTCATTAGGAAAAAAACTTCGACCCTCTTTTAAGCGTTATTTTGAAATTTATTATCATTTTTGGGTGCAGTCAATTTGCTTTGAATGGGTTTTGAGAAGTTGCAAACTTCAATTTTGTTCGTTTTTCAGTTTTTGATCAGCATTCCGTGACTCTTAAATTCAGCTAAATGAACTCAATTGCCTCATTCCTTCAAATTTAATCAATCCATAGTCTAAGGAATAATTTATTTCCAGGAAAAGGCAAACGGCTGATCATTTGTCACGTAGGTAGTGAAGACGGCTTTGTTCCCGAAGCACTGTGGGCCTTTGAATCAAAAAAGACAGGGGACTATCATGAGGAGATGGACGGCAATTCCTTTGAAAATTGGTTCTCCAAAATGTTACTAAAGCTGGAGAAAAACGCTGTTATTGTACTGGATAATGCCCCGTACCATTCTAGAAAAATAGAAAAAATTCCCACAATGGCAACTAAAAAAGCAAACATACAACAATGGCTGGCCTCAAAACAGATCGATTTTGATGAAACAATGGTCAAGGGTGAATTGATAAGTATAGTCAATAGACATAAATACAAATACGATTTTAAAATGATCGACGAAATGGCCAAAAAACAAAATAAAACTGTCTTGAGACTGCCACCCTATCATTGTGAGCTGAACCCTATTGAGCTGATTTGGGCCAACATAAAGCAATACGTGGCGTCGAATAATAATACTTATAAATTTTCTGATGTTAAAAATCTCTTTCACATCGCAGTCAATAGAGTTACGGCAGAGGAATGGAAAAACTGTATCCTCCACGTTCGGGAGAAGGTTGAGGTCAAAATGTGGGGTTTGGACAATGTCATCGATACCCAAATTGAACCTCTAATAATTCATTTAAACGATTCAGAAGATTCAAGTTCCTCTTCTGAATGAGTGCGCGCAGCTTACTTACTAATAACTAAAAAGTGTAGTTAACTCATTTGTGAATCTCTAACTGAAATTTACTGTAAAAGATAATAATTATCTTGTATGAAATTTTTGATGACTACCCATAATATCTTGATGCGGTCCTGTAATGTCTCCTGCGCCTAAACACTCACTCACGAGCAATATGCGTGTATTTGTTTGGGTTTAGTTTCTTTCTTCAGCGCCTAGAGTTTAGTTTATTTGAAACATTTAAAGAAGATAACGTTAGTCCACGAGTGACATTCGGAAGACGTTTCTTTGTTTATAATTTGTATAGCGTCACATTATAGCCGATAGTGTTTTCATCTTTTTATATTAAAATCAAAAAATATATTTTTATATATTCACCTTGCGCTTTTAAAGATTGAAATCGATACATTTCGTTTTCCTAAGCCAAATACTATAAGAAATACTCATTTATGCTATGAAATTAGATATGAGTCAAGTAGCCTATTGCGTCGCTAATGTAATCTCAAATATCAAAATCAACTTTGTTTATTTTTTCACTACCAATGAGCGAAATTATCTCCCATGCCCCCCAGGCAGATAATTATGACAAATAAAGAACACCCTGGTAAATAAGATACTGTCATTAAAAAATTGTATTCTGGATCGTTACCCTTGAAGGAGGGAATAGAAACCCAGATGAGGTATTTGTAAAATGTGTATGAATTGTCAGAATCGTTGTTTTTTCTAATTTTAGTTTTTCTTTGGGTAACCACTTAGCTATGGTAGTAATACAGAGATGTATTCCCGTTAGCCTGCCCTCCAGTAATTCTCCTTAATATTATTCATTTTATTTTTTTTCTATTCAGTAAATGTCTGTGTACCTTGTGAGTTGGTATCAGAATCCCAACAGTGATACTTGTTATCAATTCCATTGCCTAGTTTTAGGAAACTAGGTGACTCAACCTTGAAAATACCCGGT